AAAAAAAAAGCTTCTGCATGCGAAAAAATAAGAAGAGAATAAAAGAAATTCCGTTGGAATACGGTTGCCATAAAAATATGACGATTTTACGCACAACTCCTTTTTTGTGTTGGCCGCGTTTTAATAAAATCCTTTAATAGTGGCGTATTTACTTTTAAAACGTATGGCAGCACATATTTGCTCTTACTGTCGGCCATTGTTATTTCTGTTTGTTTGTGAAAAGTGGTAAAACGTGAACACAAATTTATAAACGCGTTTTACTTAATTAGGGCCTGTGCCAATTGATAGAAAAGTTCTATGGTGGAAAAACTTTTTACTATGGTGAGAAAATTTTACATTTCTGCTGTGCCAATTCGTAACTTTTTACTGCTGGAAATTTTTGACAGTTGCTTTGATGCACAAGAAGACTATCGAGTTTGCTATTTATAAAATGCAGCAATTATATAGAAAATATTTGCCTTTGATGATTTCAATTCTTCTGGAACTGAAATCCATGCATTTATTAGGCCTTTTAGCAGTAATATTAGAAATAAAAACACGTCAAAACCGTCTGGTAAGTGTGTTCACAAAATGTTTAAAACCGTGTACAATTGTTTCCAATAAAAACATATGTCGTTTTAGGGTATTATGTACATGCAACAAGACGTTTATTCCAAAATACTAAGCAGCATTATGAACGGCGATAGCAAGACTACAAAAATGTATCTTAGGTTGTCCTCTGCTTCGTTTCGAAAAATTGTAACTCACATTCCCAAAAAGCGCCACGGATGGTCAGTGGAGTACGAAGTCATTTGCTTAATAGAAGTCTTCAAATTATTTATATTGTTCTTACTCACTTCCAGCCTTCGTTGCTGTTGGCGTTCTTTTAACTGAACCAAACATCCTTGTCAATGCGCTTTTCCAGAAGGATTCTGCGTTCTGTAGCCCGTTTCTGTAACTTTTCTCTACCGATTATTTCTCTACTGGTAGAGAAAATCCGTCACTCTCACCTACTAATTAGCAGTAGAGAACAGGGCGGCGAATTCATATCTCAATTCGCCTTGGTAGAGAATTGTTACAGAAACGAGCTACTGAACTGCTCCCTGTAAAATAGTATTTTTAATTAAAAAAATACATAACGCCTTTTCATATGTAAATCTGAAATTAAATCTTAAAAGTTATATAGCTTTTCTTTATTTTTTTTGCCGGCGGGACCATGTTCTTTTATTTCCACTCGCTTTTGTTTTCTTTAATAGGAGCGTTCCTTATCTCCCAGAAATAGTCAGAAAAAGTCCGAAGTAGTCAGATTTAGTCCAAAAAGCGTTCCTTAACTCGGAAATGACAGCAAAAATGAGAGAGCAACACTCGGTGAGAGGGACTCTCATCAGTCCGAAGTAGTCAGATTTAGTCTGAAGAATTTTTTCTGGCAAAATCCTGAAAAGTGTCAAACTCGACTGAATTTAAATTAACGGAAATTAAAGAATACGCAAAAAGTGAGAATAATCTAAAAAGTAAAAAAAGTGAATTGAAATTGGAAGGAGGCAAAAAATAATTGATATAGAAAGTGTTTATTGTGCTTGTGCTTGTGTGAAGGTGTTTTGTACATACATTTACATTCTTATTTGACGTTAGCTTTGTTGTTGCCATTCTTTGGACTAAAAATTTGTTTTTTTGCGTTCCTTTACTTTTCCTGTTATTCTCTTTTAGTGAGCGCATTTTGCTTACGCTCTGACATTTTGACACTTTTCAGATTTTAGTCCAAAAAGATAAGGAATGAACCTAATTTATGTGTATACGTACGTTGTTCGTTCTTCTTCTTGATAATGCTTGCTGTCAAATTTTTCACTAGCCCTGCCGTATCAAACATTTTTATTCACCTCATAGCTGTTAAAAATTTACTATCCAGAGAACTTTTCTATCAATTGGCACAGGCCCTTAATTGGTGAATTATATGTAATAAAAGCATAAAATACGCATGTGAGCATTGAAAATATAATATGTAACACAAAATATAAGTGATAAGTGGCATATTGTAAAAAATTAGGGGGTGATAGTAGACATTATTTAACAACAAATTGCTAAAATACTATTAGCAATTATATTGTGAGAGTGAACAAGTCATGTTGAGGAGGCCTCCCCCAACATCCTCACCAAGTTTCATGACGAAATTCCTTATACTTTCGCTGAAATTTCGATTGGTTCCGTTTTGGAAAGCCCACCCGAAATGCTTCCTACGCTACTGGTCATACACACTTATCAATTGTTTTATTTATGTTTTACAATGCACCACCGGTGATCGAGCCTATATACCTCAGTACATCCAGTAAAAAAACTGTGGTGAAGTCCTTTATGGGGATAAAGTTTCCAGAGGTGAAATTTTAGGTAGCACACAATTTCTTACACGCATGGTTGCTTTTCAGCACTCATGAAAGAAACTTAAGAAATATTTGAAAAAAAAGTTCATATAGTACATTAATTTTTGAAAGAAATACCATATAATGTATGTACTCTGGTTAATAATATCAAAAAATGTATTAGAACCACCGTTTAATGTTATATTTGATAAAAATTAATATTGCTGCCCCGAACGCTCTGCGCCTTGCCACTGAATAATAGATTTACTTAAAATTACATCCCTGGTCCTTGTTCTTTCTGTATCGCATCGTGGTGAATTCACATTTCTCAGAAATTTGACAACAAAACAAAACAAAGCGAGTATTTTATTTGCTAATTTTTGCGATTTCTATTGTTTAATGTAAATTTGTCTTTTTAGGATATGTCGAGCCAACAAAGAAGGCGCAGTTGGAAAATTTAGTAATTTGTAATTATAGTTGTCCTTATTTCAAATAAAATTCTCTTCTGGGATTTGTTTT